ATGTTTCTCTCCCTAAAAATCAATAAAAACGTGTCCTTGGGTATGGATTAAAAGAATGCTGGAAATATGGGAGATGTGATTGAAGAAAGGGTATGCTAAATCAGGTAGTTGGGGTTATGATGTCAGTATGATCATTTTCCTAACAGTTGTCATAAAAGTCATTTGTTTGCAAATAATATGTAAGGTTTTAACTTTGAAATTTTGCAGGCAGCCTGGGAAGGAGGACTGGCCGCACCCCTGCCACCCGCCTTGCGCCCCTGAGCTGCGCAGCGTGCAAGCGGCACATCAGGTACTCCCCCCCTGGCGCTGTGCTCTCGTGCAGAGCCTGTTTTACTGAGGAGTGATGACAGGAAAGGCCGAATCGCAGTGCTCGCCGGCAGTTTGCTCTCTGCGGCTGCACGATGACAAAACCTCCTGAAGCGAACATGGTCTGACCTCAGTCACGGCACGCAAGCCTCGGGCTGGGGCGCGCTTTCCGAGAAGGGCTGCCAGGGCTCAGATGGTTTTAAGATAAAAGAATGACTCGTGGACAGCACTAGCCCTCAGTGAGGACTAGGTGCCTCTCTGCGTGCTTTCCCTATACTTGCTGAAACGTGACCATAACAGACGTTCCAGAACAGGTGTGTCCCCATCTGGAGGAAGGACCCGGGGTGACCGGTCCCCCATTCACAGAGCTTCGTTGAGCAAGTTTCTTGTGAGCAGATTGAGGTGCATTTGCGCAGTGGAGGCTGAGGTGGTCAGTAGGCCCTGTCCCTCACTAGAACGTGTGGCTGGCTGTGCTGGTGAGAGCAGTTTCTTCACTCAGTGTAAACCCTGCTCTGGTTTACAAAGCACAGGATGCCGGCCTGAAGCAAAGCTGGTCTCACAGCATAAGACACGTGGTGCTTCTGGGACGTGACCAGTTAGAAAACCCCGCACCGCGCGGAGCCTGGAGCTGATGGCAATAAAGTCTTAGCCCCTCATCTGGGCGCCTGCAAAAAAATAAAAATAAAACCCCCACACCTTTCCTGCTTAGTTTAGTTTTTGAAGTTTTAAAAACAAGGATTTCATTTTCAAAAGTACCGATGTGTATTGTAAAAGTGAAATTTCTACAGTGTCAACATACAGCTAGAAATGTACTTATTCTAACGAATATGAAGTTGTGAATTGAGAAAGGTATTTGCATTAATTTAAAATTAATGTAAGACTAGAGAACCAGCCCATTCGTTTTGCTGAGCCGCAGCTTGTGTGTGTGGCCGGTGAGGACCGGGCACCACTGCTCGTGCCGAGTGCAGTGCCTGCGTCCAGGCTGTGGAACTGCTTTCGGAAGCATCTTGTTTGTTCCCGAGAACAGCAGTGACTGCAGACAGACCAGACAGAAAATGAATCAGCAAAGTGTCTTGGGTCGAGGGTGCAAGAACTTGAGCGGATATGTAAAAAGTTCTTCCATGCATTGGTCTCCAGACCCTTAAAATGTGATCTTAAAGGGATGTCACTCAAAATATTATTTAAAATACAGGGTGGGTCAAAAGTGGATTTACAGTTGTTCACATGGAAAGTAAAACAGTAACAAATAATACAAGAATAAGCTGTTTTTCATACTCAACTGTGAACCCACTTTTGCCCCTCCCTCTCCACCGGAAGGCGGATCATCCCAAAATGTGTAGGACGGTGCATGCTGCTTAGAATTACAGGAGTGTGTGTGCTCTCTAAGATCGGTGAGTGATACCATTTCTTACTGCTTCAGTGAATAATTAGAGAAGTGTATTTCGAATAGTTATAATTTAGGGTCCCAAATATTCTTTTTGAAGTAACTTCTTTTGCCCTGTTACTCAGTATTGTCTTCTTTTTAACAGGTGCCTTGAAGACATTAAAGCAATGGAACTAGGAAATCCAGAGAATTCAAGATGTTGGGTTTTTGGTGTTTTTTTTTAATAAGTTAAATTGAATTTGTCTGCGAGCACTTAAAAGTTGATTGTACCAAAAAAAAAAAAAAAAAAAGGACATCAGAGGGCCTGTGGCCGCACTCCTCCAGCGGGCAGTGGTGGTGAAACTGCCATTTAAAAAGTATTTGATCATGAACTTTTGTTCCCCCAATGCTAGTATGCAAAACCGTGATGCCCTCATTGAGGGAGAGGAATCGGACGTCTGAAGGTGCTCTTGTCACATCAGCTTGGATCCTTAGTTTAAGCAAATATATTTATAAGTCCCTTACTTCCTTAGGATATACCTGAGATCAAATTTATTATAAACCAGGAGTGTTACTTTTCAAACGTTATAAGATTGAAACTTGTACTTCACATCACTAGGCTTGGTTTTCTTGAACTTTTTGCTGAAGATTGGACTGGAACTGTGGTCGGCGCAAACTGCGGCTCGCGAGCCACATGCAGCTCTTTGGCCCCTTGAGTGTGGCTCTTCCTAAGCCTTAGGAGTACCCTAATTAAGTTAATAACAATGTACCTACCTATATAGTTTAAGTTTAAAAAATTTGGCTCTCTCCCTGACTGGTTTGGCTCAGTGGATAGAGCGTCAGCCTGCGGACTGAAGGGTCCCAGGTTCGATTCCAGTCAAGGGCATGTACCTGGGTTGCGGGCACATCCCCAGTAGGGGGTGTGCAGGAGGCAGCTGATAGATGTTTCTCTCTCATCGATGTTTCTAACTCTCTAGCCCTCTCCCTTCCTCTCTGTACAAAATCAATAAAATATATTTTTTAAAAAAATTGGCTCTCAAAAGAAATTTCAACCATTGTACTGTTGATATTTGGCTCTGTTGACTAATGAGTTTGCCTACCACTGGACTGGAAGATAATCTATACTAATAAAAGGGTAATATGCTAATTAGACCAGGATACCTTCCAGACAAAGCCATGGTGGCAGGGCCAGGGCAGAGGCGGTTAGGGGCGATCAGGCCAGGAGGGGAGGGGAGGGCAGTTGGGGGCGAGAAGGCTGGCAGGCAGAGAGGTTAGGGGTGATCAGGCAGGTGAGTGGTTAGGGGCCAGCGGCCCCGGATTGTGAGAGGGATGTCCGACTGCCGGGATCGGGCCTAAACTGGCAGTCAGACATCCCCCAAGGGGTCCCAGATTGGAGAGGGTGCAGGCTGGGCTGAGGGACACCCTCCCCCTCCCCGTGCACTGGCCTCTAGTCTATATAATAAAACCCTAATACGCAAATCGACCGAATGGTGGAACCGGTCACTATGATGTGCACTGACCACCAGGGGGCAGACGCTCAACACCTCCAAGAGGGAGGCAACTGGCTAGCAGGCGGCACCAGGCTGCCAAGCCAAGGCAGGTGCCAGCAGGGGGTCGCCCCACCCGCCGGTCACCCCGCAGATGGCCCTAATCGCAGGTCAGGCTCAGGGACCCTACCCTATATGTTGGGAACAGTCTCTTAAATTTAAAAATTAAAACCTGGCAAGGCTACTCTAACACTGAAAAAACAGGATGATGCAGCGATGACATGCATGGACTCTGGCTTGCACATTTTCTGGTCAGCCCTGATTCTGACACATAACTGTGTGACAAAGACAATTAACTTGTCTCTGCTTCAGTTTTTCCACCCATAAGATGGGGAAAATGGTACTACTGCCTCAGAAGGATCATGTTATAATCGGGGGGAAAATGTAGCTGCCCATACAACAGCAAGATGCCTTTCACCTGCATGAAAAGCATGGTCACTGGTGCATGCGGTGTCTCAGATTGCAATAGAGATGTCCAGGTGCCGGTTTAGGCCCGACATCCCCCGAGGGGTCCAGGATTGCGAGATGGTGCAGGCTGGGCTGAGGGGACTGCCCCCTCTGCAAACGAATTTCGTGCATCAGGCCTCTGGTTTCTCTATAAAATACAGTGGAACCTCGGGGCTCAAACTTAATTTGTTCAGAAGGCTGTTGGAGAAGTGATTTGTTCAAAAACCGAACCATTTTCCACATTAAAAATAATGTAAATTGAATTAATCCATTCCAGGCCTCTAAATTCCATTTTAACCTTTCTCATACACAGTACATACTGTTTAATATATAAACAAACATGTCTTTTCTTACATTTATCAAACCACCCCCTTCAGCACTGGTCCAGGGGTGTCTTTCAGGGCAGCCTGTGGCATCTTCACTCGGTCACATGTCACTGCCTGGAAATGCTGCCACGGGCGAACTGCTTTTCCTTCACCCAAATCAGCCAGTTTTCCTGCCTCTTCAACTGCCTGTGGTCATTGCTTCTTTCACACCCTTAGCCTCGGTAGCACTCTTGATGCCTCTTAATGTCTTAAAACTGTGCTACTCATCCATTTCATGAAAATATTCACAGCTCAGCAGTCAAAAACTAAAGTTTGGTTCCACAACTGAGACATTTTTTCCATTGAGAACTGAATTGTTCGCGATGAGAGACGTTTAAGAAACAAGGTTTGACTGTACATGCTTTGAAAATACCTCGGTATATGAATAATTTTTCACAATTTCTTCAAGAAAAAAATACATTCTGATCATAGAGTTTATAAAAAACTTTAATATAAGGCACTGTTGTCCTGAGCCCACACGATGCCCTCCTGCTTCTCGGTCGGCACCTGCACCCCCAGCAGAGCAAGCAGTTTATTTTACATGGAGATTCCTCCCCAAAGTACAGACGATGTTTCTCCTCAAAAATTACTATCCTAGACTCGTAACAACTAAAGAACATCTCGAGAGGAAAAAAAAAAAACTATACCAGCTGTTATAACCCTGATCAAGGTTTCTAAGACTTCCCGTGTTTATAAGAGGCCCAGGAAATGAATTTATTCTTGTTATATCTGTTAAGTCCTCAAAACAAGAAAGGATAAAGCTACAAGTATGTCCTTGGTTCAAACTCTGCTTAATGAGAAGAGTTACCTTCGTAATGGGTTCAAGGATCAACCTTGTTTGCCACTTGACCCAAAAACATTCAACTGATTTCACTTCAAGGTCAGTACAGCAAAGTCTTAGTCGTCATTTTCTCTCATTAAATACGTTTAACATCGGAACTTTAGGAAAGCTGGATTCTTAATCAGAAGCCTGCAATTTATTTTAACAAAAACACCTTGCTTTTTAGTGCTAAGGACCTCACCTACTTTTTTGCAATAATCTTTCTTTGGATAACCATTCCTTCTGTAAGACACCTAAAGACATATTTCAAGTTCTTACCAAAAATTCTTCTGAAGGAAAAAGTCACCCAGGAAAGTTAAACTTTGCTTTAAGTAGCTAAAGTGTTGTTTATATGTATTACAACAAAAAATCCACTCAGGGTTATAACAGTTAAAACTGAGATCACAGCACAGCTGAACAACAGGTGGTGCTGATGAGGTACTACTTTGACATTTTGGTCTCGGAAGGCGTGTCCCCAGTGTCCAATGTCTTCAACAACCGGAAAAGGCCGGCAGCTTCTCGGATCCTACTGAACTCAATGCAGAACGCCTGCACTTCTATAAACAAGTCCTGCACGTTGATGATTTTGTTACGGATCAAGGATTGAAGAAAGACACACACCAGACGCACCAAACGATTCTGAAAAAGAAAAGAAAAGTTCAGTGTGCCCATTTTCTTGGCAGGTTATTTATAAAATTTACTAAAATTTCTATTCGTTACCTGCATATACTTATCCTTAATCTGTTCACAAGTAGAGATGCAATTTGATATGTAAAGGTGGATGAACTCAGGAGGTAGGTCAACAGCTGTAGTCAGTCTGTGTCAGAGTAGAAGAGTAGGGTTATTTTATACGCTCACATCAAAGAATATTGTCAACCATAAAATACCACGTTTCCTTTGGTCTTTTCGTGTAAATTTCTGATGACCAATTTACCTAGTTTTAAATATACTTATGCAAATAAACCTAAGAGCCATGCCCATCTGTTAATAAATGACACTTACATTTTGTAAGTGCCACTTTGCATTATGCATTGTAATCACTCATTAAGCAACCAATTCTGTGAGCACCATGTCTCTGTTTTGGCTGAATCATAATTCAGTTATTTTTTCCAAGCTCTAATAACCCTGACAATGATTCCATTCATTTACTAAACTCTGATTACATATAAGTGCTATGCAAAGCAGTGTGTGTGAGGGAGGTGTAAGTTTAGTAGCTAAACTGTACAATATAACTTAAGTGCTAGAAAGAGTAATAATGTAAGTGAAAAGAGTTGGGAAAAGTCTTAAAAGGACAAATGACTTAAATTGACACTTCAGTAGAGGTGTCAATGGTCTGAGTAAAGCTTGGAGCCAGGGGTTCACAGGGTACTCAAGACCTTTGCCTTCAGACCTCGTGGGGGACGGGAGGGGGCACCTGGCTGAAGGTTAACAAAAGGCAGGGTATGGGGAGATCAGTTTAGAGTCTCAAAAGGGGAAGCTGGTATTTTTAAAAGGACTCTAGGGAATGTTTATGGAAAAATAAAAAAAGGTATGCATGTTAACTATACAGTATGCATTTCTGGAAGAAACAAAACATTCCTAAGTCTAGAACTTTATCCATTGGGCGCTGAGGAACTAGGGTTCTAAGGAAACATCACCAGAGGCTGCTGCGGCCACAGCTGCTTCACACTCAAGGGTGACTCACGATCACTGGGGGGGGCACAAAGCAGATCTTGTTCTTGAGATTACCGAGTGATTCTTGGACTAAGTGCAAATGTCTGACAGTAACTTCCACAAGGACGTGGTGAGGGGAAGAAGGAGCCCTCGGCTCGGTCCACCCCTGGACTTGACAGAACGCAGCCCTAAGAAGAGCGGTCTAAGGGCACGGAACAGGCCTCAAGGAGAAGGCAGGCGAAGCAGCATGTTTTAAATGCGCAGCTCACCAGTTGCACCAGTAACAGAAAGTACAGCTAAAACCTCATGCTGCCTTTCCCGCCCCACAAAGAAACACTCTCCTACTTGGGGTCACCTGGCTTCAGCTAGACTTTTTTCACTAGTTGATTAACTTAAAAGGACGTGTTCTTTTTCTTTCTTCTTTAAATATGGAACGCTTCACGAATTTGCATGTCATCCTTGCACAGGGGCCATGCTAATCTGTATCGTTCCAATTACAGTATATGAGAGGCCCGGTACACGAAATTTGTGCACTCGGGGGAGGGTCCCTCAGTCCGGCCTGTGCCCTCTCACAGTCCAGGAGCCCTAGGGGGATGTCCAACTGCCATGGAGGCAGGGGAGGCTCCCACCACTGCCACTGCGCTCACCAGCTATGTACCCGGCTCAGGGCTTCTGGCTGAGCGGCGCTCCCCCTGTGCGAGCACACTGACCACCAGGGGGAAGCTCCTGCATTGAGCGTCTGCCCCCTGGTGGTCAGTGCACGTCATAGTGACCAGTCGTTCAGTCGATTTGCATATTAGCCTTTTATTATATAGGGTTATATAGGATTAATGCTAAATATTTGAAATCCTACCCTCTGGGTTCTTTCCTGGGGATGCTAAATTTACATGCAGTGAACACTAAGGCTCAGATTATTTAATTTATTGGGTTTTCTCAGGCTAAGACCAGAAAAAACTTTGTGGTCGTTTTTCCCTGCTGGCCATGTAATCAGGTCTCACCCCGCGTCTGACCACGAGTAGGGACTTACCGGTTCACCACTTCCATGGAATGTAAAGACATATCCATATTGACCAGGACTGAAAAGTACTCGGTGATCTGGCTGGACTGCATCAGCTTCAGCAGCATCTCTATGGCGACGAGAGGGTTGTTCTCCACCAGGTCAGGAAGCTTGGCTGGCGTGAGGCCAATATGATAAACAAGTTTGGGGTCTTTTTCCAACTCACCAAGGAGCTAAGTTTTTTTTAAAAAAAAGAGGTTCTTGAGTCAAAGTAGCATTCTCTTTGCTGCATACAAAAATACATATTTTATTTACAAGCAGCTACAAAATTACCTGCATTGAACCAACTTCATAAATTTCTTCCCTGAAATACATGATCATAACGACTTGGTATTTTTCAATTTACATCTGAATTATAACAATTTTAAAATATAAACACCTCTATTATTATTACTTTTTCCTCACCTGAGGATACGTTTTATTGATTTTGAGAGAGAGAGAGAGAGAGAGAGAGAGAGACATCAATTGGTTGCCTCCTGTGTGCATCCCAACCAGGGATCAAACCAGAAACGTAGGTATGTGCCCTGACTGGGAATCAAACCCACAATCTTTGTGGTATATGGGATGACACTCCAATCAACTGAGCCACCCGGCCAAGGTGATAAATTAAGACAGTTTATAAATATGCCAGTGATTCCTCCTGGGAATTATGCCAGACTCAATATTGTCTGGTTGAATAAAATAAGTGGATTGTAACAACATCGTCCTTAAGTCCTTTGTGGGTTTCTTTTTCTGTCAAAAATAATTTTATTTACCAACCAGTTCCCCTAAAAAACCTAGACCGTAGAGAATTGAGGGACATCTAAAACAACTGCACAGCCCCGCTCCAGGTGGGAAAAGGAAGCCTGGAGAGGGAACAGGTTGGGGAGAGGGGGAGCAGGGTGGGAAGAGGGGAGCAGGCTGGGGAGGGGGGAGCAGGCTGGGGAGGAGGGAGTAG